AAGTACTTATGATTACATGAGGTCACGAGGGTGGGCCCTTATGATGCAATTTTTGGCGTACTAAGAAGAGTGGAAAGAGAGATCTCTTTCTTGTCTCCACTGTGTGAGGACACAGCAAGTAGGCGTCCTTCTGCAAGCCAGGAAGATGGACTTCACCAGGAAACAAATTGACCAGAAACCAGAACATGGAGTTCTCAGGCTCCAGAACTGTCAGAGATAAATGTCTGCTGTTTGAGCCACTCAGCCCACGGAATTTTGTTATAGCAGCCTGATCTAAGACACCCCTTCAGATAACCAGTGTTTACATTTCCTCTGCATTTTGTCATTGGCCCTTGACCTTACTATTCTCTCCAGGTGAGCTGATCGGCAGACCTCCACCTTTGTTCTTATAATGAGTAGTCAGACTCCTTTCGATGTTTCACTGCTTACAGGTGAAGCCTCAGACTTCCCTCTTCCCTTTTGTCCCACAGCTGCACAACCTGTGAAGAAAGCCTGGAAATCTCTCCTCTGGTGCAGGCAGGAATTGCAAACCACACAAGGCTGTGCCCATAAGGAGGAACTCTTGCCCTGCCCGTCCCCCCCCAGTCAACACCCAGTCCAGGCTCCTTTCCTTGCTCTCTCAAGTCAATTCATACCTGCTTGTGAAGCCTGCCCTTCTCTCCAGAGACTAAAATTAAGTAATAAACCATTTCATATCCTCTTGGCATATGTGTGGTGGTGACCAGTCTTTTTTTTTTTTTTGTCCTTTTTGTCTTTTTTCGTGACCGGCAACGGATCGCAACCCTCAGTGTCGCGCCCGTACCGGACCGGGACCGGCAACGGGATCGCAACCCTCGGTGTTGCGACCACACCTCGCTCAGCCAGTGAGCCGCCGGTCTGTATGTGGGATCCGAACCCTCGGCGGGAGCGCCGCCGCACTCCCAAGCGGCACACTGTAGCAGTGCACCACCGGGCCACCCCGTGGTGACCAGTCTTGACACCTGAACTAAAACTTGGGTGGGTATACAAACCTACCTCTGCAGGTGATCATAACAGCAACAGAAAAGGTAAGATGTGTATATTGCAGTACACTTTGCTTGTTCTAGTGATAAATCCTGTAGATCTTTTCATATCAATAGATGCTGCCTTTTATATTTTTGAAGGTGAATGCAATGATGTATTTATATAGGCAGTTCTTTCCAAGTAGGCACTTACCTTATTTTAACTGAATTAAAACTCAGATTGCCACATTACGGGGCATACAAACATATAAAACATGTATTTTTCCAAACTTCATTAATTGTTTATATTTTTATTATAAAATATATTCAGAAAAGAATGCACAAAATCCTTGTAATTATCATCGACATTCTTGAGTGGGCACTGGGCCGTCATTAGAGTCTCTTTATGTTCCCCTTTTTCTTGCATCACTGTCCTGATTCATTTGGTTATTCCTACCTTTACCATCTATTCTTTGTCAGTATGTAGAGTCTTTTAGTTTTGCCTCCTTTGAACTTTCAATAAATTAGTATTAATGGGATTACAGTGGAAGGCTTATTGGTGGCCTCCTGGCCTCAGGATGCTTCATGCATGCCAGTGTCTGAGGCTGCAGGCCATCCAGTGTACTCATCCATTCCAATGGTATTGGTCTTTGAGCTTTATCAAGCTTATTTTTTGTTTCACTTATTGCTTTATTTCTTTATTTGGTTATTTATTGTTTATTTTTTCAAGGGCTTTCCTCTTGAAGCTTTTTAGATTCATATATCACAAGTTTGACTTTTCACGTATCCTGCCGCATGTGATTAGCAGGTCATCACTGCCTTCCTCTCTTCTCTCCCCTTGAGGTCCAGGATGATAACTGTCTCTCTTTCAACTTTTTTTCAGCTCCTGGAATTTTTTTTTTTTTTTTTTTTTTTTTAAAGATGACCGGTAAGGGGATCTTAACCCTTGGCTTGGTGTTGTCAGCACCACGCTCAGCCAGTGAGCGAACCGGCCATCCCTATATGGGATCCGAACCCGGGGCCTTGGTGTTATCAGCACCGCACTCTCCCGAGTGAGCCACGGGCCGGCCCCACAGCTCCTGGAATTTTTTTCTCCAGTCCTAACTCTGCTGTTATGACCTGACACTAAAATGTTCTCTCCTGAAGGCCTAGAAAAGCAATGCTTTTCTTCATTATACCTTGATTCTACACACCTGGCTTTTCTTGATGTGCCTGAATAGTTCCATGTAGCCAGGAAATTTCCCATGCTGCTTCTAAGAGCCATGTATTCCCCTGCTCAAGGTACTAGTTTTCTTGTTTCTCTATAATATGATGTACTCTCATAACCTTGCACACATTCTTTCTGTGTCTATTTAAATTCAAATTCCTTTTCGTCAAGGTTGATTTACAGTGTATCTAAATGGGCTTCCCATGAGCAAAAGCGATCACACTACAGGAGGTTTTTCTTTACCTTTCTGGTCTAAAGAAACAAAGGTTTTGCATTTTATCAAGGTAATTTCCTGTGTTGTCTTTAACAGGTTTTTTGATTACTTAGGAAAAGTGAACCTTGAAAGTATTAAGGTTTTAATATCCATGTAACTTTCTGTATTGCTTTTAAAGTCTTTGATTATTACTCTAGTTAAATAAATATTATTTTTGTAGTGACCTGTGATCCTGTTTTAATCAGGTGTTTTAAACCTTTTGATATATTTGGCAGGCTTTCCCAATATAAAAATTTTAAATTAAGTCTTTTTGACTTAAAATTAACTTTGAGATTTTTCCAGTTGGTCCCTGAAGAGCCTCAAAAGCTGTACCTCTTATCTTTTAGAGATATTAAATTATTTTTTTTTTCCTTTTTGTCTTTTTTCGTGACCGGTAACGGGATCGCAACCCTCAGTGTCGCGCCCGTACCGGGGACCAGCAACAGGATCGCAACCCTCGGTGTTGCGCCCACACCGCGCTCAGCCAGTGAGCGGGAACCGGTCTCCACATGGGATCCGAACCCTCGGCGGGAGCGCCGCCGCACTCCCAAGCGGCGCACTCTCCAGTGCGCCACAGGGCCGGCCCCAAGATATTAAATTATTAAGCTTATTTGGTAAATTGTATGGGAAACACTATCAAATAATAAGCAATAGTAGATCATTTTTTCATTTACGTTTATGGGCATGTTATTGATATAACTATTACAGAATTGCATAAAATTCTTAAAACTCTAATGTCACCAGTTATAATTTTGGTCGTTATATTAAATCTTCTTTAAAATTATATTTGTATAAATATGTTATTGATGTAAGTATTCTAAAGATTATATAAGATATTTAAGAATCTGACAGTCCTGATGGAATGTTGTCAGTCATGATACTGGTTGTTACCTTAAAGTGCTGTATGCAATGGAAATAACCAGATTTCTTGGTCAACTGCTGATTATGATAAGCTTTCAGTTTTTAACCATGGCTGTTCTAAGTCTCTGTCATTCAGTTTTTTCTTTAAAGGCATCTGCAATCAGATTTATGAAAAAGACTAACACGTTCTCTTAGAAAGAGGTTTCTAATAACTATAAGATCAAAGGACTAAATTAAAATGTTTTCAGAACTCTAATAAACTGATGGGTTCATAAAAGTGCAAATCAAGATCAGGCAGAACAAAAATTAATTACATTACTTTGAATAGCTGACAAAGATAATGTTTTTATGACGCTTAGTATGTTTTCCAGATTTAAGGAAAATTTCTTTTTATAGCTATCTATACTTTATAGCAATTTGGTAAAGTGTACTTTTGTGATCAAAGGTTGAAGAATTTGCTTTTTCTCCCTACTTGATTCCACCAAAATTTGGAAACTATTTGCAAGTATTCTTTAATATTTTTTGGCAATATGATTATTTACAACAAAAGTTAAATATGGTACCTCATGTAATCTTCAGGGGAATTGCTGAATATAAAATGGCTATGCCTTACCTGAACCTGAAAAAAAGTGCCGTTTTGCCTAAATTCCCCATGGTCATAGCACTCACTGTGCTAAGGTATTTGTAGTTGGCATGTATGCCCTGACCCAATGAATAATATATTAAAATTAAGTTAAATCCTTACCAACTACAAATAATCTTGACCAAATGAGAACCCTTGAGCCACACCAGTTGAAATAAGTCAACATGACTGCATGTAAGTTAATCATGTTCTTCAAACTTATACATGAAAGTGAATGAATGAAAGGATGATTGTTGGGAAAACAGAATAGTTGTTTTTTTTTTTTCCTTTTTTTTTTTGTCTTTTTTTGTGTCCGGCAACGGATCGCAACCCTCAGTGTTGCGCCCGTACCGGACCGGGACCAGCAACGGGATTGCAACCCTCGGTGTCGCGCCCACACCTCGCTCAGCCAGTGAGCGGGAACTGGTCTGTATGTGGGATCCAAACCCTTGGCGGGAGCGCCGCCGCACTCCCAAACACCGCACTCTACCGAGTGCGCCACCGGGCCGGCCCCAACCTATTGTATTTTAAACAAAGATGGGAATTATTTATAAATTGAGTAGTCCAGATTAGAATAGCCATAGATATTGTAAAAGGCTTGAGAAACCATTACTCAATATGTCATAGTCAGTTATCCATTGTCTTTATACAATGTTTGGAATTTTTAGACTGTTTAGACTTTTCTGAACTTAACAGTGTAAAACCTCCGCTTTTTCTACTTTTTGTGCCAACTTACAACTCACGCTGAGAGATAGTCTCCCCAGTTTGCAAACCTAATAAATTCCTTATTCGCATTTCTTTGCAGATTGAAGTGTGGCAAGGGAATGGACCTTGCGGGGTTGTGCAAGAGCGCTCCCTCTACATCGGCCAGTGCTTCAGCTGTCCAACCGTGCCGCCAAATGCCTCATCCCAAATTCCTGGTCCCTGGAGGACCTCAGGCCCTCCCTTCTGTTCTAGCGCACCCAGGCCAGGCTTGGCGCCCCTCCTGCTCTGAGAGAAGAGGAGGGCTGCATTGAGCACTGAGTCTAGAATTTCCCATGCACACTTGTGACCAGTGTCGAGAAGAAAGAAGCAAGAATGACCCACTGCGTACGGGAAGAGCGCATTGCCAGCTCTGTAAAACCAGGAGTAAGTTCTGCTGAAATGCACATATCCCCCTGGAGGGACAGAAGTGGGCTTCAGGAGAAAGCTGAGCCTACTAAGGGCTGTGGTTAGAACCTGTCAATCTGGCTCCTCTCAGTCACCTATTGGGTCGCTTCTCCTGTCACTCAGGTCCAGAGGCAGGAGCCTGAAGCAGTGTCCAATCATGGGCGCTGGGGCGGGGCCGCGAGAACTGTCCAATCAGGTGCTCCCAAACCGGAGCGCGCCAAGCTCCACAACCCAGTGGCGCCTTCTTTTCTCACGTCACCCGCTGTGGGCATCCGGGTTCTGTTGCTCGCGGGGGACCTGAGTGGCTCTGACGCAGCCTGCGTTGCGCTGTGTCCTGCACGACAGCGGGAGCCATACGGAGGACGCGGAGACACCCTGAAGCGGGACATGGTGAGTGTGGGGCGGGCGTCCCGAGACGGGGAGTGGGGCCGGTTGGAACCGTCCGGAGCCGGCCGTGGCCGCGGGACCCGGGCCTCCCCGCGCTCAGCCCCGCAGTCTGCGTCCCCGAGTCCGCCGCCGGCGCAGCGCGGCCCTCGTTCCCCTTCGGCCGCAGGGTGGGGCGGGGCCGGCGGCCGGGACCCCGGGCGTCCTGTCGCTTCCCTGCGGCGGCGACATCAGCCTGGCCCGGATCCCTCTCTGGGCAGCCCCGCGTGTCCCCAGAGTGAGCGGTGACGGCAGTGTCCTCACCCGACTCGGGCTGTGGGACTCGTGCGGGGGAGGAGCTGTGGTCCGTGGGGTCCCCTGTGTCTGCTTTCTTTCCGGGGACCGGTGTTCTTCCGAGTGTTGCAGTCCAGGACCCTGTCCCCGCAGCCAGCTCTTCCCAGGACGGGCGATAAATCCCTAACTTTCCAGTTCCTTCTTCGCGTTCCCAAACGCTGACTTTTCCTCTGCAGCTCACAGCATTGTCAACTGCTTCATTGCACATACCAAACAGACCCACTATTAAAGACAAGGATGACACTTTAAAAAGATTCGTTTTCTATTTGTGGACTTTTCACCTCTAAAGAAAGCAGAGAAAAACAACCTGAAACTCCGCTGCCAAAAAATCTTTGTCTCTCCTTTTATCGTCCCTAAGCGCAGACATCAGAAGGTCTCTGGGGTGAGGTTCCCCCTCGAAACGGTACAGACTGATGTGTCTTCCGCCCTCCTTCCTGCCTTTTCCTGGTCGTGGGTTTCAGAACTGCCTGGGCCTGACCCAGATGCCCACAGCTGCCAGGTCTTTTGGAGTGTCTAGTGAGTGTCAGGCCCTGAAGGACAAAGGGTAGCCTGAGGTATGGGGGTGGGGGTCCGGGGAGCAGCTGGAGGCCCTCGGGCTGGGAGGAATTGCCTGGTTTATCCTTCATTTAAATAGCTGACCCGAGGGCGCTTCACTTTTCTTCTTCCAACCCTAGTTACCATTCTTTGGTGACACATTGGTGGTCAGCCAGTTGGATTCTGGTATTTATGGGAAGAGAGAAATGATTTCTGCTCTCTAGATTCTCTCAGACTAGTGAAGAGAGAAAAGTATGTTAAAGGACAAGGGAAACCTATCTCATTCAGGTGGTGCAAGAATCTGAAAAGAGAAATGCACCTTGGGTATGGTGGAGGTTGGGGCCAGGACAGATGCAGTGTTGCCTCAGAGGGTGGTCATGGAGCATTAAAGTGAGCAGGATGGGTGTGGGGAGATGTCCCACATGACAGGATGACCTGAAGTGACACTTGAGTTAGACAAGTCTGCGCTCCAGTCAGGAGTGTCCCTCCCTAGGTTTTTCACTTAAAAAGGTGTTGCTTAGCCCCCCAAGGATTTGTCACCCCACTTACCCTGGGTGACAGTCGCAAAGGATTACTCAAAGCCCGTCTCTTCTGAGCAGTGAGAATCACCAAAGTGGTTAACTTCCCCGGAACCCTCAAGCGAGAGGCATCCCTTCCTTGGGAAATTAACCCCGAATTGGGGTTCTCTTCCTGCATTTATTTTCCAGACCAGGAAGTTACAGAAAGAGAACATCGGTGGGGTTATAGTTTAACAATATAGACTGGTAACTTTCAGTGAAACAAGTCAGGTGACATTTCATTAGACAATTAAGTGGTCCACCAACAAAAGCTTGATCTAGCAAACATTCCCTTACAGCAATTTCTCAGTATCTTTAAATAACAATCAGTAACTAGTCTGTCCTTGAGCCAGCAACCTTGCTGTGCCACAAATCTTTATCTCACACCAGAGACTTTATAGCCTGAGGAAAATTTCCAGTCCTCCACAAGGTCAATATTTGAAACTGCAAGGCTTTGGAAAACCAGGCCCTGTGAAGTACATTTGCTTTAAATCCTCTACAAAAAGGTTAGTTCACTTATTTGGTTCTGTTTTTTCATTAAATGTAAAATACATTTTATCAGTAGAACTTGAAAGATAAGAAAATACTTACAAAAAGGCAAGACAGGAGGATTTTAGAAAAAGAATCTAGTCATATTTCATTTGTTAATCATTCTTCTTATTTTTTTTTTCTAACTGAAAGTATATAGTAACTTTCTCAGATCTGTTGTGTTTTGTGAGGGGTGGGTGGGGTGGGGAGGGAGGGTGATTTGAAATGGAAATTTAGGGCCTACCTTGAGAATGCTGCCAAGGAATAGAAATAGGGAAAATGTCTCTTCCATTATGGCTGAAGAAAAATGAATACATTTCCACAAAAAAGGGTGGTAGATAAATTGGTAAATTACAAATATTCACTAAAACATTAGTGTCTCTCATTTGTGGGTGGAGAATTTGTGAGAGCAGATAAGGCTGTTCTGTTTCCTGCTGTCTGGACTGAAGAGATTTTTGCTAAATTCTATTGGATAGGACTTGGCAACACCTAGAAGTGTTCAAGTATGATTGTTTACTAAATGATTTGTCATGGAAATAATAATGAAACATCATCTTTTTTGTCTGAAAAGGATAGATACTTGTACTTTTTTTGTTGAGCTATAAGATACAAATGTGTTATAATTTCCTTTCCTCCTGTATACGTAAACAGAAAGTTTGAGTGATTTTTGCTGGAGGTTTAAACCTGGGTATTTTGTCATTTAAAAGGAAGTGAGTAGCCTTGACTGGGAAGCGGAGGCCTGAGTGCAGTGACTGTGAGCTAAGGCCAATCGTGAGCCTGCAAAGGGAGGTCATTGAAGGCCCAGTAGCTCCCATCTGGGGAGCCTCCCCTGCAGGTGTCCAGCCTGCTCATACTGATCATGGAGGGAGCCTTTATACTGAGAGAATGTACAGAGCCCTGGAGAGCTGGGGATCCACAGGCAGATGCACTTGGGCAGGTGATGCCCTCTCTGAGGTTGAAATTGTTATTGTCCTGGGGTTCTTTCTAGACAAGTCAAACAAATCTGGATTTAGGTAAGAAGTGACTTTATTCTAAAGGAGTATAGCAATAGGAGGAAAGTGCCAACTGTAAGATCTGCAAGGTCTCAAAGGGTGAGGTAGGAAAAGGCTTTTTTTTTTTCCTCCATAGGGAGGAACAAACAGGGTTAGAAAGAACACAGGAGGGAAGGTGTGGTGGAGGGTGGCAAAATCAGATCTAGATCAGGGAATATTTTACTCTGAGGTCAGCTGGTTCTCAGGAGGGCAGTAAAGGAGGCGTTGTGTGCTGAATCAGGCTGCTGAGGGGGGTCTCAGTTCACAGGTTTGGAGGAAGGAGAGAAACTTAGACTAAGTTTGGTTGACCAATATTTTGTTTCGAGTGAACAGGGAAGACTAATTATTTATGAGGCAAAGAATGGGAATTTGTAGAGTTCAGCTAATTATTTATGAGGGAAAGAATGAGAATTTGGAGAGTCTGTGTCTGGCCTTGTCTGATTAAAAAAGGGCGGGGGGACATCATCTAAGTGGTAATGGGAGGTGTATTTCTTTGCAGTAGTCTGCTTCTCTAGAACACTAAGGATGCTGCTGGTGGGGGTTTCTTTAACCATAGATATTTATAGGATTACAGAACTTGGGTAAAATTCAACATTGTCAACAGTTTGGTTTTGCATTCCCAGAGTGAGTTTAGTCAGAGTGTAATTTGTGCACACTGAGAACATCTGTGAGGGTCAGACTTAGAGAAAGATACCTCTGTGTTTGCCTTTTGGAGAAAATGTTTATGCATTTGAGAGTTTGTTTTTGTGGTATAATAAAAAAATATATTTGGTGTTTGTCTCCAGTCTCTGGCACAGGGGTTCTAAAACCAGTGGAATTTCCTGAGTAATAGGAGTGTTTTTTGTTCCCTTTCAGATTATACAGGAGTTTGTGCTAATGAGGTGAATTAGGTGGGACCCCTGGATAGGCTTAGAATGGGGACTGGTGACCAGAAAGACCAAACCCATGATTACAGCATTGTGACTTCAAGCTGTAGCCACCAACTTCAAGAAGGGGAAGGAGGCTGTAGATGGTTCTGTAAAAACCCTTGAGCAGAGACATTCAGAGAGCTCACAGGTGAACACACTGGTGTGCTGGGAGGGTGGTCCACCCCAGGAGGGAGAGCTTTGCCCTTTTCTCCTTCCCATGTCATATATATCTCTTCCATTTGGCTGTTCCTGAGTTAGATCTTTTGTAATGGACGGGTGAACTTGAGTAAAATGTTTTGCTGATTTCTGTGAGTAGTTCTAGCAAATTATTGAACCTAAGGATGGAATTGTGGGAACCCCTGATTTATAGGCAATTGGTTAGAATGTACATGGCCCCCAGGACTTTGAATTCATCTGAACTGGGGGAAGTATTTTGGAGCTGAATTCTGAATTTCTGGGGTCTGTCCTAACTCTTGGTGGTGTCAAAATTGAGCTGTTGGATACTGAGTTGGTGTTGGAGAACTGGTTATTATTCAACAAACACCATTCATTTGGAGTCAGAAAAAAGACACCACAGATCAGGATCTTAAACTGACTGCGGATGAGTGTTTGGCTGCGAGTAAGAATTGAGATCCTGGAGGAGGGAGCATTTCCACACTGTGAAGAGAAGAGAGTAGGATGTGTGGAGGTCCCAGAATTAAATTTCCTGCCTGCTCAGTTTGAAAGGAAATTTCAAAAGGAGTGAGCCACCATGGGCTATATCTTCATAGGGGTGGTCCCCAAGCTTGGAAACATGTTTAACCTTATGAATATAGGTTTCCTTGTGAACTGTGGGTGAAGCAGGCTGCTAGGTAAGAGATCCCAGAGAGAAGAAGCCAACATGCCTCCTAAGCCAAGGGGAAGGTGGGAGTCATGAGACACGTGTGCTCAACCAGTGCATGGAGAGCGAGAGAGAAAAAGAGAGACCTGTGAGCCAAAGCCTTTATTGTGGAAAGGCGTTCCCCAAGCAGGTTTTCCTAGGGTAGTTTTAAGCAACCCAGATAGCTCTGCTTCCCACTTGTTTCTCTTGTAGGATCTTGCTGCCATATAATTCCAGTTTCTTGTAGCATTTTAGAATTTTATTCCATGATTTGAGTCTAAGACTTTTTTTGCTGTTGTTATTGTTGAAAATCTGAGTGGACTGAGTGATAATATCTGAAGAAGCTAAGAGAATTCTACACATAAAATATTTGTTTTATGCTAAGTTTTGTTTTGTTTTGGTTTTGGTGGCTGGCTAGTAAGGGGATCCAAATCCTTGACCTTAGTGTTATAACAAGTTTTATGCTAAGTTTAATAAGAATATATTTTTTCCTTCTTTTTTTGTGGCTGGCTAGTCCTGGGATTCGAACCTGTGACCTTGGTGTTATGATGCTGCACTCTAACCAACTAAGCTTCCCCGGCCAGTCCTAATAAGAATATAAACTCCTACAGACTTACCACCAATGTAAATAAATAGGGCTTGGTCAGTACTTGTGTGTCTCTCTTATCTCACCTCCCTTCTGCACCCAGAGATGAGCAGTCATGATTCTTTTGGTTATTCTTTATAGCCTTACCATGTATTTATCATGAAGTAGGGCTTTGGCTATTTTTGGTCTTCAGAAAGTTAATATTACCATTAATAATACCCTTAATATTATGGAGAAAAGGTTGTTTATGGTTCTGTTGCCTCAGTCTGCTGCATACTTGCTGCTGTTTGAGGCTGTGGGTCACCCAGTTTACTCACTCATTTCACTGTTTTGGGGACTTGTGCTATTCCAAGTTTAGTTTTTGATCATTTTGACAATGTCATTCTTGTTTATGCCTCCA